AAAATAAAACAAAATAGTCTCATCTAAAAATAAAAAAGGAACACAGTGAAGAAACAGGTTCTTCCATGAGCTCGAGGACAGCCAGTCACAGCTCTACCGAAAGCCACAGTAGACTTAAAAGCTAAAGCCTCATCATCCTTTCATCACGTACTCTTACTATGAGCAAACCCGGCTCCTCTTTCCTCTCCTTCTTTAACATAGTTACTCTATACTGTAGAAACTAAAACTGCACCCACAGACCACCTTGTGACAGTCCCCCTGCAGAGATTGTGCTCTCACAGTCCTAAAGGATTGCCCATGAAAGCAGTCTTCCTCTGAGTGAGACCCAGCCTTCAGAACCAGCCTTCCTCTCAGTGAGACCCAAAGTCCAAATAATGGTTTAAGAAATAAAAGCAATGACTTGCCACGATGAAGAGTGCCCAGGAGGGACAAAGCGCTGAAATCTTCCACAGTTGCAGTTCCCAAGCCCAGCTGCAGAGCCTTCTGCCTGCACCCTCGGTCAGGCTCAGAGCAAACCGAATGCGTGCCTTCTGAGGTGGCTGCAGAGACGCAAACAGGAACCTCGAAATGGAGGTTCTCGTTTCAGTGGTCTGGCCCCATTACCCAATTTTATTTATACTTTCATTCTAAAAAGAAGTAGCAAATTCAACTTACTGGGGCAAGCCTCACGCTCCAGACCTCTGCAGGTATCATCTCCCCTTCTCGATTGCAAGCTCTCTGAGGGTAGGGTCTCGAATGGCATCAGACAAACATTTGCTGAGAAAGAAGTCAGCATCATGCAAACAAAATACAATACATTCAAGATTAACACAAAACATCTGGCTCTGTGTTTAAAATATAGGAACCTCTCTTATTTTTTGTCTCAATGTAGAGGTACAATATAGCCAGGCAACCACCCAATCCCTGCTTCCAAAGACGCCTGCCCCGTCCTCTAACTCATGACTAGACGCATAGATTTCCTCTGTATGACATCAGCATTTCCAGAATACATCCAGCAATTTATTCCCCCTAGAGAAACCCTTGGATGACTTGGACATCCTAGATAAGAAGTCACGGCTTCTTCAGTTCATGATATCACTCAGTCTTAAGTCACCACTTCAAAGTAAGTGTTCTCAATGTGCATGCCTTCAATGCTGGCTAGACATAGGCATGGACAGACTAGTCATATGGAACTTGCCTGTATCATTTGAAAAACTGTTGAATGTTTGCTGTCCTCAAGGATTATGCTGCAGTGTCCTTGAGAAGTGGCATGCTGGTAAACCAGCAATTTCCATGTAAATATTCCCATCATGGCCTATTTTGAGCTATTAACAGTTTAACAATTAACTCACAAAACTCCTAAAAATTTAATACAGGTTGAGTATCCCTTATCCAAAATGCTTGGAATCAGAAGTGTTTCAGATTTCAGATGTTTTCAGATTTTGGGATATTTGCAGAGTACATAACAGTTCAGTATTCCTAATCTGAAAATCCAAACTCTGAAATGCTCCAACAAGCAATTCCTTTCAGTGTCATGTTGTCACTGGAAAAGTTGGGGATTTCAGAGCATTTCAGAGTTTGGATTTTCAGATTAGGGATACTCAACCTGTAATCAGCTATCTCTATGTGTGTGCTGGCTCCAGCATACCACCAAATCTACGCAGGTTCTTGCTGGGGTACAGCTCAGACGTGACTGCTTGGGTGATGCTGAAAACCACAATCTCCCCTCTCTTTCACATGACAACCCCCATCGTATATGTAAATACATATACATCAAAAGGTAGCCAGAAGATGCAAGGAAGTTTTATTAACTGTAGTGAAAATACAAGAGTTACAATGTCTGTGTACATGGCCCAACAGCGCAAACCCTCCTACAAAAAACAAAAAAGTCAACGAGATGCAGCAGTTAGCAGTCCAACACTGGTGTCAAAGGAACGGAGCTGGCTCTTCTGGCAGCAAAGCTTTGAGTTGTGCAATTAAATAACAGTCTTGTTCCACTCCTTAAGGGTCTTCTTACAGCTTCCCTTTAGAACCATAACTCAGCGACACAGGAGAACTTTCATATTCAGGATTTGGCCTCCGGAATTTTTTTAAACAAAATTTTTTAAAAATTCCTCTTCCCTCTTGCAGTATCAGTGTCCAAGTCAGAAGCTGCAGAGGACTAAGATGTTCCCCAAGCAGTCCGAAGTAACAGGTCACATGAGAAACACAAAGCACTTTACAAGCTCACATTTTGTAACAGAATTAAGAGCCTAATGCATAAAACTCACAAGGTAATGTAACCAAACGTAAAGACTTCAGCAGCCAAAGAAAAATTCTGAAAGGCTTTTAACCCCTTATGAATTAAATTCCCTTTCTAGACAAGGCTGATCTCCATATGGCATGACAAGAACTCATGGAGTAGCAAAAAGAAAGAAAAAGAGAGAATAGCACCTTAGAAGATATTAAAACAGTAGATTAAACAAACAAACAAAACACCACTCTATCTTCCTTCCATCCTTTAGGAATGCAAGTGTCCACACACTGCTTTGCTCTCCTTTGAAGAAAAAAACTGTAACCCAAACCCCAATATAAGGGATCAAGAAGGAAACTGACGTCAGCCTATGACTGGGATGTGACCACAAACCCATGGAAGAAACCGTTAATAAGTTATCAGCTTACTCCCTTATCATGAAAGACTCTATTGTTCCGTCTTTTAAAAAGGAAGGGACCGGTTCGAATCATGATTAAGGCTACCAAATAACATGGCTGAGTATCCAGAGAGCACCATTTACCTAAAATGACCAACATACCAGACTGCACTAATCTTCACAGCACACCTGTGAGGAAATTACCAGAAGGCCTGGCCAAAACCGGTCCCTAAATTCATGGGATGTGGCTTTCAATGGGTTCCTGGAATATCTTTTTCTCAAAGAAACAAGGACCCACAAAAAGTCACCCTCACAATTCGATCTCTATCTTCAAATCTCTGAGAGCCCACATTATTTACTCTCATTGCTCAAATTGTTTTCTTCTCTCGGTTCAGGTGTCGGCACTGGTTGTGTTAGATTGGCCTCAGACAACCACATATATCGCAAGGGGCCCGAAGAACTGTGAGGTCTAACCACTGGAAATGTAAACTGCCAGTCCTGTCTTTGCCTCCTCTGCTTCCCTATGTGAGCAGAGGTAAATCACAATGTCTATCAACTAACCAGATTCTCTAATCTCTGGACTGGGTTAGCAAAGAGGCCAGGCCAAATCTACGAGACAAGATCTAACAACCCAAATTTTAAAAATTGGATCTTGGCAAAAAGTATAAAAGAAAAGTGATTCTTAAAATAACACATATAGTCTATAATGCTGTAATATGGAAACCTCTTGAGCCACCTAATGAAGAACCGTAGAAAGGGACCATCTGTTGAAAAAATAAAGATGGGAGATGGGGTAATTTTTGTCTCTCACAATCGAGATGTGAACCCTATCACTATTACAGAGGACTAGTTAAGTATACACTGTCAATCCCTCCTGACATGTCATACATGTGTCTTAATGGCTTACAGAAAATCCTATAGAAATTAAAATTTGAACTAGGTTAACATAGCAGAATGAAGGAGCCTATTGTAAGTATTGAGAGAACAGAAGGGAGAAGTATAGGTTATATACAACCTCACTTCCTCATCTCAAACATTATGTAAAAACAGCTTGCACATACCATAGTTTACTCATAGCTGGTACGTTTTAGAAATAAAAAAAAAAAGTTTTGAAGAACAAGTAAAAAGATGATTTAATTGCTAAAGTATTCCATAAGCCCCCACTAAAAACCTTTTGAAGAGTTTTTTTTGCCTGAAAAGTGAAAAAGGAAACCGCAAATTTTTCAGCTATAAGAAAGTAAAATAACAAAGATTCCTTGGCCCAAATTGCACATAACAAGACAAGAGAAAAGAATTTCTCTACCTCACCATTCCTTTCCCTAATTGTAAATTGATGACATTTATTTAATACTTTAAAAACCTAGTCAAAGCAAATCAATGACTCCTGATTCTAACAACTCTAAGGAAATTAACACATTGACTGCCACACTAGAAAAAAAATTTTTTCCCCTGGGACCATGGTGTTTTATTAAAATAAAACGATCCTAATTGGTTATTTTTTATTGTTTTCTGTGCGTGAGTTATATGCAATGCAATCCACATTTTTAGAATTAAATTGTCTGTCAATATTAATCATAACAATAAGAACATCAACAAGTAAGACTTTCATGAACCAACTGCAGGGTTTTGCTTCATGCAGCCCCTGGCTCAAAACTAGCCTGAGTTAAATACAACTCACATGGCAGTCAATGTGTTAAGGTTATACACTCCAAGTCATCCAAATACAATTGAGGATGAGACCATTAAACCAATGAGTATATGTTTTATACTAACTCACAATTGAAAATGTACATGGAGCAAAAAACAAAGAACACCTATTGCAAACAAACATTTTGTTCAGTAGCACATCCAGAGGCTACAAGCTCCACTTTATCAAAAAAAAAAAATTATTTTGGCATCGGTAGTGTGGCAAACATTTAGAATTCTCCTTCAAATAATTGGAAGAAAATATATAATACATCCAGGAGCAAAGGAGAACCAAAAATTATCTTTTTGCTCAGAAAAAGAGCAACTTCATTCAGTCAGAGCATAACTTATTTAAAGGGGAAGTCATGGGTCTCTTCTGAGAGTTTTTGAACAGTTTATAAATACAAGAACATTTCTTCAATAAATAAATGATTCCTGCTGGGTACAGTGGCTCACGTCTATAATCCTAGCACTTTGGGAGGCCAGGCAGAAGTATTGCTTGAGGCCAGGAGTTTGAGACCAGCCTGAGCAACATAGCAAGACCCCCATCTGTACAAAAAATTTAAAAATTAGCTGGGCATGGTGGTGCATGCCTGTAGTCCCAGTTACTCAGGAGGCTGAAGCAGAAGGATCACTTTAGCCGAGGAGTTTGAGGTTGCAGTGAGCTATGATGACACCACTACATTCTAGCCCTGTTTTAAAAAAAAAAAAAGGTTCCTAAAGTCTTTACTGATGACCTCCAGGATCCTCCATCACTGCTGTCCAGGCCAGCTTTACTTCTCTGACAGGCTTTGGCTGCCAATGGAATGGGCTGTTTTCTGTTGTTATGTGATTCTTCTTATATCATGCAGACTTTCATCAATATGTCTCTTCATAGTCTGAATCCTGGAGGGGAAAGAACAGTAGGTGTGGTGTGTATGTGAAGTACAATAGCACAGTCAGCATTTAGGCGAAGACCACACGTTAGGATCCTCCAAATGGAAGTTGGCTTGGGGAGACAACGACAGTGAAATGCCACTGGCTCATCACATCTAAATTCCCATGAAGCAACACAGGACCTCAATATAATCAGTGTGTACTGGGAAAATTTCTGCTTTGAAGCCCTAGCAGTTTCCTTTTCCTTGGTGAATATTTTTTAAAACCTCAACACACAAAAAAGGGTGTCTGTCTACAACAGAAAGTGCAGGATTTCGGTTAAGAGTTTAGGCTAGGAGTCAGTCCATCTCTTAGTTCCACCTCTTGCTGGCTGTGTGACCTTAGGTAAAGTTATTTAACTTCTTTAAGCCTCAATTTCCTCATCTATAAGATGGGGATAATGGAAATACATCTCATAGAACTGTTACGAGAATTAAATGAGACAATATATGTAAATAACTTAGCACTGTGCCTGGTACTTCATAAGCACTCATTCAAGATCATCTCCTATTACCATTATTCTTAGTCGAACTCATATTCATTATTTCTAACTTCAAGTGGGCCATTAGCTCTACCTGGCATACCACATTTCTCTAGTCCATTCATTCTCCTGTTCTCCTAGATGACTATTTCATATCTTTTCTCTTTCCCCAAACGTCCAGCACCTCCTCCTCCCATCATTCTCAGCCGATGGCCTTGCTTTCTCCCATCACTGAGAACAGAGAAGCGGTCGGTAGAGAATTCGCACAAGCTCCACCACCATTTCTGCCCACTCATACGCATCTGGGCCCATCTACTTGGCCTTCCCCACTTTTCTTAGGCACTCTCACCTCCTTTGTCTAAGGCCATCTTCTCTTGTGTGCTAGAGCCTGGTGTCGCCCCCCAACAATCCTCCCCTCTCTCTCCTGCAGCATCAATTTTTCCTTCTTTACTGGACCATTCCCATTAGCATACAAATATGCTCAATTTCTCCCATTTTAGAAAAGCAACTCTTGATACACACTTCCCTCTGCCTATCACTCTATGTCTCTGCATCTCTCCACAGCAAAACTCTGGAAGAGCTGTTTATACCCACTGTCTCCAAAGTATCTTTCGCAATCTTTCTTGACCCTCCCCCAGTCAGGCTTTCATCTCTACTACTCCACTGAAGCTCCTTCTGCCAAGGTCACCAGTGACCTCCACATCACCAGATCATGCAGTAATCCATTCTCAGCTCTCATTTTACTTCACCTGACTCAGCAGCAACTGACGGTTAATCACTGTCTTTTCCTTGAAACTCTTCACTTGGCTCCCAGAATACCAAACTCCCCTCATTTTCCTCCTAACTCACTGACCATTCCTTCTCAGTCTCCTTCACTAATTCCTCTTCATCTCCCCATCCTAGAAACCTTGGAGAGCTCCAGGCTCAGTCTTTTGACCTCTTCTCTATCTATGCTCATTTCCTTGGTGGAAATGTCTCTATCAGTCTCTACCTGCTAATGGCTCCTACATTTATACCTCCAGTCTGAACCGCTCTTCTGAATTCCGCATCCGCAATTGCCTACTCCACATGTCCACTTGGAAGTTTAATAAGTATTTCAAACTTAGCATGTCCAAATCCAACTCCTGATCTTCCTCTTAAAACTCGTTCCATCACAGAATTCCACATATTAGAAAGTGGCAACTCCCTTCTACCAGTGGGCGCAGGTGAAGAATCTTGGAATTATCCTTGACTCCTCTCATTTTTTCACATATACATGCAACATCAGTAAATCCTTCTGTCTTTACCTACAACCAATTCTTACCACGTCTACCAACACCAACACCACCATCCTGGTCCAAAACACCAGCATCTTCTCCCACCTGGATTATTGCAAACACCTCCTAATTGGGCTCTCTGTCTCTGCCATTGTCCCTTACCCCTCATTCTCAACACAAAAGCCAGAGTAATACTTTTAAAATACACATCAGTTCACAGTGCTTCTCTTCTCAAACCCTCCAATGGACTCCACTTCATTCAGAATACAGGCCCAGCTCATTACAATCTTCTATAAGGGTCTATAACATCTAGATGCTGCATTACCGCTCTGATTTCAACAAACACTGTTCTTTGACTTGCTCTCTTCATTCCTGCCACACTGCCTTCTTGCTATTTCTAGAACATGCCAATCATGGGCTCCCTCCTCAAAGCCTTTGCACCTGCCATTTCTTCTTCCTGGAATACTCTTCCACAATAACCATATGGCTTGCTTCTTTTAGCCGCTTGCTCAAATCTCATCTCACTGAGGTCCCTAACCATCCTATTTAATATCACACCCCCTCTACCCAGCCATCCCTTCCCCCTTTGTTTTATTTTTCTCCATAGCATAAAGCACCATCTGATATATTAATACTATACATTTTACTTATTTTTAAAAATTTAGTTAGTACTTGTACTCCAATTTAAGAGAAGGTGACATTTCAACTGGTTCTTAAAAGATGAGAAAGAGTATTCCAGGCAAAGAATGTTAAGTTCTTTGAGGGTAGACATTTTTGTCAGTTTTGTTCACTGCTGCTTCCTAAGTACCTAGAATAGTGACTACGGCACATGTTAGATGCTCAATAAATAACCATTGGATGAATTAATGTCTGAAATGTGAATAATAGCCATATGAACATTAACTTGTTTTGTGTTATCAAAATATTCAAACCCCAAAGGGTTGGTATTAGGCCCTCTCCACTGGCACTATCAACCTTTCTCTCATCTTACCTACGATGCTCAAGTGCATGAGAGAAAAAGAAACAAAGAACATTGCAACGAGTAATTGGGCTGGGGTCATCTGGCCAGTGCTGAGCTTGGCAGTAAGTACAAAGGGGGCTCAAGTTCAAACCCTGCAATGACAGGTATATTTCATATTAGATCATAAGTTGCTTTTGACCTGTTTCCAACGTCACCACATCAGAGAGTCTTTCCTCCTTCTAGGATCCCAGGACAGCCACACCAGCCTATTAGTCACAGCAGGTGCTCAAAGGGGGAGGGATGATAGCCTTTTGGAGATTTAAGTCAAAACGTGGGCCTTTTTGGCCTTATGGTATTTCTTATTGATAAAAGATATCAAGTTACCTAAAAAGTTATATCACTCTAACTCCCTGGAAATACCAAAGCTTAGCAGAAAAGTTAAATTCAGGGTCTGGGTCTAGCCAGTCGAAGTTTCCTGGTATGAATTCAGTGGCAGAGGACATTCCTCTTTCAGGATTTTTTGTCAACCAGCATAGACTGCTGCTCTACACAGCCCCCTTCCCTAACCTAAGAATACCACTCTATGCCCATGAGACAGAAAACAAAGTCATGGTTAGAACTAGTAGGGGTCCCCTGATACCAAAATGCTTTAGGGGAAGACATTGGCTCATACCTTGCTTAGAGCTACCTGCATATCCTCTGCTGCCTTGGAGGGCAAAGGATCAATCCCCTTAAGCAAGCAGGAAAGTGAGATATCAACAGTAAACAGAAGGAATGGCATGGACTTACCAGGCACTCAGCACAACGGACACAAAGCCTTCCCATGCACGCATCTTCTTCCTCCTGGTCAGTGCTGTAGAAAGAGGACAAACCAAATCTGAATCATCACTATCCTCATTATAGCATAAACAGTTTTGGTTTTAGATTCCAGTTCTGCCACTTAGTAGCTAGGTGACTGGGCAAATTACTTAAGTTCCAGGAGCCTGTTTCCTCATCTCTAAAATGCAGATATTACTACCTACCCTTAAAGCATAGTTGTTAGGAGTAAGTAAAAAATAAACACGTGTGAAACACAGACCATAGTGCCCAGCACATAGTAAGTGCTCGATAAACAGGAGCCAGTCATATTCATTCCTTCAGAAAGGTACTGAGCACCGACAATGTCTGAGGCACTGTGCTAGGCTGGAGCTAAAGGGATAGATAAACTTGGGCCTGTGAAGAGCTCACAATCTCCTGGGATGGGAGACCTGTTAAAATTTAACCAGTACATTATAATACAATGGGATAAATGTTTTAATAGAGTTAAAGTCAAGCCGCTGTGGCAGCAAAGAGCAGGGAGTACTAATTCTCCCTGGAGGACTTGGGGAAACTCAAGAGAAGGGGCTATTTCAGCTCGTGCTGAAGGATAAGAAAGAGTTTCCAGGCAAGCAAGAGAGGGCATGAGGGCATTCCAGCCAAGAGAAAAGTATGGTGGTGGGGGGAAAGATTTGAATAAGTATAGTATGTTTAGGGGGAAAAATAAGCTCACTGTAACTAGAATGTGGAGTGAACAAAAAGAAATGTCAGGAAACAATGTGACTTAGGATAAGATCGTAAAAGTTTTGTGAACCATGTTTAGAAATAGACATTAGTATTTTTATCACGAGTTGTTCACCTTTTTCAGGCCACAGATTCCTCGTAAAGGGTACAGGGCACTCTCTCCATTAAATTAATGGCCGTACACACACACACACACACACACACACATACACACACACAGAGAAAAAAATTTTGCAATCTCTCACCGTAAACCTTTCCTCCCCAGATTAAAAACCCGATATAAACAATGGAGAACAAACAGGGGTTTTATGTAGATTTTTGCTACTATTTTAAGTACGTTTGTTTTTAGGGAATACACTGGATCATCCCTGCTCACTGGCAGAACGACGTTCAATAAATCCTTCTGATACCACGATCCATTTAGCCTCTCCCTTCAGAACATATGCTGAACGAAAATAGATCCTGCTTATTCAAATCTTTTTTTGCCCTCCACAGCTATTCTTAAAGGCTCTCTAGGCCGGGCATGGTGGCTCATGCCTGTAATCCTAGCACTCTGGGAGTCCAAGGCAGGAGGATGGCTTGAGGTCAGGAGTTCGAGACCAGCCTGAGCAAGAGTGAGACCCCGTCTCTACTATAAATAGAAAGAAATTAGCCAGACAACTAAAAATAGAAAAAAGTTAGACGGGGGTGGTGGCGTGTGCCTGTAGTCCCAGCTACTCGGGAGGCTGAGGCAGAAGGATCGCTTGAGCCTAGGAGTTTGAGGTTGCTGTGAGCTAGGCTGACGCCACGGCACTCTAGGCCGGGCAACAGAGTGAGACTTTGTCTCAAAAAAGAAGAAAGAAAAAGAAAAAAAAAAAGCCTCTCTCATTGCTTAGGCATTTTCTGTCAGGAGATACCAGCTCAATGCCAAAAACAAAGAGAAAGGGAAAATAACTGAGTTGAAATTTCCTTTTAATCTTGAAAGAATGAAATATCTACTTCAGAATTTATATTCAGAACCATGACATTGTATAATTTGATTTCCAAAGTGGAAGACTAGAACCACACTATCAACTCCTCCATCTCTCTCCAAATTAATATCCACAAGTTTCACTTTCAACCTTCGTTTTTCTTACTCCTTGGCAGAACTAGTCTCTTTAAAAGGAAATTTCACCAGCAGAACTAAATGTGTCCTGGAAGTAAGGAAGGCGTGGATGTAGGGGTCTGGGTACTGTCCACAAAGCAGGGCTCTGAAGAGGAAATAGGCTGACTGCTTAGGGCACCGGCTGTACTTACTCATCTGAAACCTCAATAGACGACTTCTTATAGCCAGACTTGCTCCTCTTCTTGAGCCTGGCGGCCTTCCGCCCCATTCTCACCAGCAGCAGAACCACCACCACTGCTGAGGGCACAAAGACGAGGATGGAAAGGAGGGCCACAGAGGAGAGCATGGTGCCAAAACCTGGGAGTGGAGAGACAGAAGGTGAAGGAGAGGGACGTGCCAAAGTGCTTCCTGCAACATGAGCCAGGTTCCACTTCTGCATTCATATTTCTTCTGATTACAGAAGGAATGTATTCATTGTGAAAAGGGTAGAAGAACACAAAAGTACAATGAAGAATAAAAGTTAACTCACAATCCCACTACCCAAGAATGTCACTTTGGTATCTACCTGTTCAATCTTCTCTCAAGGGGTATTGGGTGTGGGTCTGCATGTGGGGGTGGGGTGTATATTTTTGGAAGTATGGATCATATTTTACATACCATTTTTAACCTCCTTTTTAACTTACGATATGATAAATATTTTAATGATGCCTTCCAGATGTGATTTTAATGGCTGCGTATCATTCTACCATATTGAATAATTTATTGAATCAATCCCCTAATGCTGGACATTCATGTTGTCTCAAATTCTTTGAATCTATAAGTCATATTAGGAAGATAATATCCTTGTACATAAATCTTCATGTTTAGCTCTACTTCTTTAAGATAAAATTTAAAATGGAATTACTGGATCAAAGGGCATATCCTTTAAAGGCACTTGATTCATACTAACAAACTGTCTTCTAGAAACTGTATCAGTTTCTATTCCTGCCAGCAGTACGAATGTGCCCATGTCTTTGAAACCTATGAGTTACTGTCTTTAAAAAAAAAAAAAGAAGGCAGGGAGAGAGAGAGACAAAGAGAGGGAGAGAGGGAGGAAGGGAGGGAGGGAAGGAGGAAGACAAAGAGTAAAGGAAGGGAGGGAGGGAGACAGGCAGAGAGGGTAGGATGGAGGGAGGGAGGAAAACTTGAAAAAGACTCAAGAAATGACAAGACATCTATAATGAAGCATAATGTATCTCTAAATCTTTGGTTCAAATCCAATTAAGCACTAGAATGACCACTTAATAGCCACCAGGGAATAATGCAGAAAAAAAGGTCAGTCCTTAACCTATGTGCCTCCTGTTTCACGCTAAAAGGAATCTACTGCTCTTCGCAGCATAAAAGCAATGCACTACCTCCCATCATGAGAGGGATGTCCTTCCAAGACATAGACAAGAACACTGTCTCAAAGCCGGGAAACTGGAATGACGTCTATTTCACAGAGACGACAACCCTACATTTACTCAGGGGTTTGCCATACATTCCGCAAGACATTAGGTCACCTAAAGTTAAAATGAAAAAGGGATAATGGAAAAACTATGACAATATTTGAAGATAAAATTCAGTTTTCAAAATAAAAATAAAAAATTTATCCTAACAGACATATCAGGATGGCAGAAAAATTATTTTGACACAATGATCCAATGACCCAACTGGCTTACAAAGATAGATAGCTTTGCTTATCGCTGAGCTCTCCAGAAAGCACCCTAGTAGACACAGAGCACTGCGGAAGAAGGTTGTGGGCAGGTAGCTTACCCCTTTCTGTGACTGTTAGCTCTGTCATGGGAATATTGTGGTGCACATCTGGGGGATTCTTCACAGCACAGCTGAATGTCCCATTGTCCTTTATGGTAGGGTTGCTTATGCTTATAGATGCATCCCCTTTGTATACATTTCCAACCCAGGAAATCCGATCCCGAAATGTGCCAGCTGTGCTTGGGTACTGGAAAGACTGGTAATGAAAAATCTAAGAAAGCAACACCATGACAGAAAAAGTTAATTCGAAGAATGCAATGAAAAAGTAAAGCTAAGCAGGTCCAAAATAAAATACAACTGTATCGTCATTTTTTTTTCATTTGGGCAATTTTTTAATGCTTTTTCCACCTCCATCCTACAGGTAAAAAGATAGCTCAATAAAACTGGTATCAGAAAAAGGCCTGATGAGAGAATCCTGGGATCCTAACGCTTGAGTCTCTTCTGTGTTCTCCCTGAAGTCCTAAAGCACTAGTTCTCACCAAGAGGCAGCTTCACTCTCCAGGAGACATCTGGAAATACCTGGAGACATTTTTGGTTGTCACAACCGGGGAGGTGAGTTTCTGGCATCTACTGTCCTACAATGCAGAGGACAACTCCCCACAACAAGAGTCATCTGGCTCCAAAGGTCAACAGTGCCAAGGTGGGGAAACCTTGTTTTAAAGTAACATCTGCTATTTGTACAGCACTTCAGAGTCTGCAGTGACTTCCACACGTCTACTCACTTGAGCCGCATAACAACACTGAACTACATGAGGCAGGTATGATTATTCCAAATTCGTAGAAAAGGAAACAAAGCCCAAAACAAAACCTAAGTGAGTTACTCAAAGATACACAACTAGTAAGTGTCAAATGGGAGATTTTGTTTATTCTCAGAATCACCAAGAGGGTATATAATACAATTCAGTCTTTCTCAGGTGATCTACCTTGGCAATTAATATAAACCCTAAGTCAAATGCATGATAAATACGCAATGCATGTATGTTGAATTAAAACAAAGCTGCTTCAGACTTGGTGACCTCAGACACTTCATCACCAAAAGCACCTAATTATATCTGGAGGTAGGCTGGGCAGGTATACAATACAATGACTTTTCTCTCTTATGCAAGATACAGCCTTTCCTCTTTCTTTGTTTACTTGGGACCTTCCCATTTAAGAACCCAGGCATTTATAACCACTGAATTGCTCAATTTTGAAGAGCCACTTCCCAGAGAAGATGCTGAATCACTTATTGGTTGAGTTGTTCATGAATTCATTCAACAAATATTTGATACATACCCATAATGTGCTAGGCACTGTGTTAAGCAAAAGGATATAGTGGCAGCCACACAGGCACAGTCCCTACTCTCGCAGAACTTACTTTCTTGTGGTAAATACAGATAATAAGAAATAATATATATGACGATTGTTCCAAAGAGGAAGGTAAAGAATGATGATCAGCATCAGTGTAAAAGAGTCTGAAACTCCTTGTTGACAAAACAAAGCCTGTTGTGTATCTCTAAGATGAATCTAACCTACAAGTTTCATGTTAAATTCTTGATACTCAAGTCCTTGCTAATTGATTAATCTGACAGAATCCTGACTGACGAACCACATAACTGCAACATCGTGTTATGTGACTTTAGCTCCAACTCGGGTGAGTTTGCTGATTCTCCGACCAGCCTCACCGAGAGCAGCACTAGAAGAGAACTGTTGTTTGCATTTAAGGTTTCTGACACAGCGAGCTCCCCAGTGCTTGCTGTGTCCTACTTTGGACCAAGGAGGCAGAGCCAAATAAGGCCATAGTTTCCTGACCACTCAGAATAAAGTGAACTATTTCAAGCCTAAAGAAAAAGGGACCATGAATACAACCCAGCTTCCTTCACTGGACTCGCCTACCTAGCTCCAAGGTCTGTGGCATCCCGTAATGGCTCCTAAAAGAGAATTCAAAGCTTATACAGTACAATCAAAGAGAAAGTTTTTTCCAAGAAGGAAACAGGATAAATAAATGAAGGTTACTTTTAAAAATACGATCTTATATACAGCTATGACATTCACATTCTTGAATAACATCTGTCCTGAGCTAAGGATACTGCTGGAAGCATAAAGAGAAAGAGTTTTTTATAGCATTGTAATCTTCAATTAGATACCCACAATGGGATGTGGACCATAAATGTGTTTTATATGCGTGACTAAAGTATATTGCAAGACCATCTGTCACCAACAACATCTGACGCCAACCCAAGGTGCCTCCATTTCCTTCAAAAGCAGCTGTATAAATCAATGCAGATGTTTACACACAGGAGAAGATGCCAAGATAAATCTACAGAGCACAGATATACAAACAGACACACCCACTGAGACAACTTATAACAGAAAATGAGCAGCCTTAAGAGAAAGGATATCTGTGATTGGGATCTATATGATTTTCCTATCTAACAGTCCTGGAGGTGCCCTTTTTAGCACATCAAATCTAAAAATGAATCTATGAAACCGTGTAAAGAAATGACAAAGAGGAAACAAAATTAAACCACATTTCCTCTGAGTTTCTGACAACTTTTTTCTACAGCTTATTTGCAAGATACTTACATAGAAGAATAAAAAGCCATACATGACCAAAAAAATGTCACATAGGGTACAAGCTCATCTCCTGCTCTTTAAATTGAAACCCATCTTCTACTCTAAGGTGAGAAAGCCTCACGTGACTTCCAATAAAAGAATTTCGCAACTGTTGACCACAGGAAACTCAAAGAAACTTTCTGAAAAGCACACACTTACTGATTCCGTGCGACTGCTGCTGGGAGCGCGGTACGTCCAGTCTATGGTAAGCTTGTCAGTGACAGCTGAAGTCGACTTGAAGGTACACTTCAACTTGATCTTTTCTCCAACGTAACCTCGGACATGGGCATCTGCTTTAATCTCCAAGGAAAGGACGATATAGACACCTAATAAAAGCAAGCCCAAACACTTAAAATGCATTCATTTGGGTGGAATATACAGATGTAAGTGAACAATACAGAGATGCTATTTATCATTTTTAGGAGTCTTACCAAAAAGCCAGAGAAATAAATATTTCTGAGGCAAGCCCACAAGGAACAAGGAGCTGATATATGCATTAATCAAGGACAATATTTTTATCATTTTGCAATCATAAATCACAGACTGAATGCTTGGATAGAAATTTAAAACCTGGTCATACCAGCATTTTTCCAAATACAGACTGTGGTTCAGTTAAGTACAAACAAGTGGGTCTGCCCACAGCAAGCTAAAAGGCAACATCACCCACCCTCTTCTACCTCCCCCAGACACATACACCCACCCACACACACACTTGGAAATTTGTCAGCTTTTGTCATCTAAGGCAGCAGTCCCCAACCTTTTTGGCTCCAGGGACCAGTTTAACAGAAGACAATTTTTCCATGGATGAGGCAGGGAAGGGGGGCATGGTGATGGGGAGCAGTTTTAAATACAGATCAAGCTTTACTCCTGCTGTGTGGCCAGGTTCCTAAGTTTCACGGAAGACAATTTTTCCATGGGGAGGAATTTTTCCAGGGGAGGAGTTGGGGGTGGGGGGGTGAGGGGAGAGGGGCGGGAGTTGGAGCTCAGGCAGTGACGTGGCCAGGTTCCTAACAGGCCACGGACCAGTACCAGTCCCAGGTCCGGGGCTTGGGGACCGCAAGTCTAAGGGACTAACCCTAAGTACAGCATGGTTGCAACATGAAGCTACCACTGCCTCGATCACCAGCAAAATGAGAATAGAAAATAAGAATGGCAAAAGTTTTTTCAAGGAATTGTTTTAAACTGCCCCAAGGTTCTATCTAGTTTTCCTCTTTGTTTTAATTTTTAATTTATAATGATTATGCGTACATAATAGTTGTATATCTTTATAGGGTTTCTCACTTTCTTAAAGGTGGTTAATGAATCCCTCATCCATTAAATTATGGGAAGGAAAACAGAGTAAGTCAATGTATTCTATGATGTAAAAATAAGACATCATTTTTAAACCTTCTCTAGAGCATTTAAAAGTAAGTCTCCAGATTTACTGTTTCCAAAACCACTCATATATCCAACTTGACACTCTATTTTTCCCAAAAGAGCTGGTGAGATAGGCAACTGGCAGGTACTGCTTTAGGCACTGCTTTGGGCATTGCTGCAGCATTGCCTAACTGAGTCAGAAAGTCTCAAAACAAAGCTTCAAATTGCCCTGATGGAGGATGGAGGCAGGGCAAGTTCCAACCGGTTAGAACCAAGATGGTGGAGGAATAGAGGGTGTGGCCCTGATTCCAGGAAAACACCGCCCCTGCCACGAATATTCCTCCCCTTGTTAATTAAGCCACAGCTTAAATAGAGGGGCAACAGGAAAGCGGGGCGTGGTGGGGGGGTGGGGGGGTGGCAGGTTCTCTTCTGCAAGGACAACTTGCCTCTACTCTGTCTGTGCAGTAGATTTTCTACAGTGTCCGAATAAATCTCGCTTTCACTTTATACCGTTGGCTCGCTCCTGAATTCTTTCTTGTGCGAAGCCAAGGACTCACTTGGACCTCAAGTAGCTCCCAGCATTGGGAGTCGCTTTCCTGTGTCGCTGGTACTTTCTTCTGACCAATCCTTTCTGCTTTCAGAGAACAGTAAACAGAAACTTATCTTCTACTAAGGAGCCATAATTTAGGAAATTAAGTCACCAGCGCTTTGTTTTTCCTGTTTCCTATCCACCTCAGTAAGCCACGATTCTTCTGGTGACTTCTGTTGCCAAAAGCAAACAGAGCAGCAAGGTTTCAGAAAAGAGCAAACCCACCCACTGTTCTGAAAACCAGTAGTCCCTCTGGCACAGACAGGATGGTGTAGTGATTGAGCACACAGCCCCCTAAGCCAGGGGGTCTGGATTCAAATCCCAGCCCCATCACCTGCTGGCTCTGCAGCCTTAGCAAATTACTGTACTTCTTCAGTTTCCTTACCCAGAGTAAGTTCTCAATGCATGTTAGATAGCATCATCATCATTGCCACCTCTTCAGTTCTGCCTACACTCTTTCAACCTTTCCTGTCTCTGGCAGTTATGAGTCATTAGTTCTACTGCCTTTACCTCTGCCTGCTTTGCATTATTTTTTCCAGCTCCTGTCTAGATAATCTAGTCTGTTCACATTCCTCTTAAAAGGAGGATCCCAAGACTGAGCTCACTAATAAGAACTCATAAGAATCTGACCCATCCCAAAGACAAGGATTATTTCTGGTTCATCCATCACAGCCTTTCTGACTTTGCCATGCTAACCTTGTCATTCCTTCTATGTCTTTCCAAATGCTGTTCCTCTGCCTGAAAAGTCTTTATCCCCCAGTCCCCATTCTCTTAAGCCCTCACTCCTAAGCCATCGATGTGAAAAAAAAAAAAAAAATCATTATTCATCACTCAAGATCCAGCTCTAAAAACTGGAAGGTGGAAGCGAATTTAAAGAGATTTAAAGTACAGATTTAGAATTTGCCAGACCTGCACTTGAGTTCTAGCTCAGCTACATCTTGACTGTGAGACCTCTATCACAGTTACCTAGCCTGTTCAAGCTTCAATTTCCTCACTTGGTAAATGGGAACAAGACCTACCTCCTTGGATCACTGTGAAGATCCACTGTAATTTAAAAAGATAACATGTGAAAGCTTAACACAGCACCTGGAATAAAAACTTTCAATAAATGTTAGCTATTATAAACACTACATATTCAAAAGCCTTGGATAATTCCCTACTGGGCTATGAAATAAAATCCAAACAGTGACAATGTGGCTCCTAACTTCTGCCACTCAGCCCACCTACCCATCCCATTTCCTTCACTATGCCTGGAATGGCCTTCCATTTTGCAAATGTACTGTGTCCTTTCATGCCACTGTGACTTTCTTTGAATATGGCTTTGTCTGGAAGGTCCTTCCCATCCCTACCAATCCTGCCTGGGTTGTTCCCCACCACAGCACAGCCCTGGTGCTCATACACCTTCAAATTTCAGCTCAGATATCGGCCCCCTTTGTGACTCAGCCTTCCCAAATTCCCTGATACAGTTCTTTGCTCTTTCTTCTCCTAAGTACACAATGTTACTCAAGCACATATGCACCTAATTTTTAAAAGCTAATCGATTGCACCTAATTTTTAAAAGCTATTTCCTCCATTAAATGCAAGCACATTAAGAGCAAAAGTTCAGAGGGAGGGGAACAGGCAGAGAGGGACTGAGAAGGGAAAAAGGTGGACAGGTCACCAAAAATTCCAGTATAAGAACAAAGTGTGCTCATTAGCCACCCACTCTCTTCCTATCACCTTTGTTACAGTATTTCAACACTCTTAACTCCCCTACACTCCTCTTTCCACCGCACCGGTTCAGGCAGTGCTCAGCTCTAGACGACTGCTCCTAGGCTGGGCTCGTATACCCTGAAGGAGAAAATTCACACAACTGCACAGAAAGTTACCATCGGAAATTCGTGAATGTCACCCACAGCCAAGTCCTCAAGGAGGCCTGGCAAATCTTTAACTGGTCTTGCTGAGCTTCCATTTGGTGATTCCTCAAGCTCTTGTCATTCTCTTTTAGTCTATGCAACCTCTGAACCCCTCATTCTCAGTAGAAAATGTCACCTTTTACTTCTTCAAGAAACTTGAGGCCATACAAACTGCGCAGCTATACAGCTTCCTGCACCTGCACCCATCCTTACTTCCAGCCTGAAAGGATGTGATGTCCCTTTTCCCATGCAAGGCCAACCTCTTCGCTCTGGCCCCGATCCGCCCCTCCAAGCCCTGCTTCAGCAGAAAAATCCTCTCTAGTCTCCAACCGCTCCCCTTCAGGAGGGGCTCTCTCTCCCCTTGGCCTCTGAACACACAGAAGTCTCCCCTATCCCTAAAAACAAATAGCAATTTTTAAAAAACAACCTTTCCTTAGCCCTGTAATACTATTCTAGCTGCCAACTACTGCCTTCTCTGTCTTTTCTAAGCCAAGTTTGTGAAATAGTGGTCTCTACCTGAGGTCTCCATTTCCTCCCTTCCCATTCACTTTTGGACTCTACAGGACAACTGGACTCCACTACCACTTCTGGTAAAGGGCATCACATATCTTAAAACTGCAAAATCCAAGGAATGAAATCTCCAATAGACGCTTTTCTAGCCTTATGTTATTGGACCCCTATGTAGCTGTGACTACTTCACCCTTGAACTTCTCTATCTCAAGGCTTACATGACAATACTCTCATTCATTCACTTATTCTTCAAACATACATTTGTTATCTGTTTTGTGCCACACTCTGGGTTTGGGATTGAATGCAAGCAAAATAAATATGCCCCCTTGTATGCTTGAATACAGCAGAAGTTTGATATATTAATTAAATAGCCATAAAGACAAATAACCATAAAGACCATTGCACAATTACAAACCCTGATAACGACTATGAAGGAAGGACATAGAGAGCGACTATGAGAACTGCACCTATGACGGTGGGGGAGAGGGGTATGGTTAATGAATGCTTCCCCGAAAGTTACTTTTGAGCTAAGATCTGAAGGAAGGGTAACAAGTGAGGAGAAGGAGAGCATTCCAGGCAGAGAATATAGCATATGCAAAGGTCCTGCGCCAGGAAGGTCAGTCAGTCAAGGAACTAAAAAGCAGTAAGGCTGCAACACAGCATGAAAGAGAGACAGAGAGTAGAATAAGATACAGCTAGGAGGTAAACAGGAACCAATAAGACAGGACCTTAGAGATTTGGGTTTTTATCCTTAGGGTAATAGGAAGTCTGGAAAGTACTTAAATGTGAGAAGAGACAGGATGAAATTTGCATTTTTAAAATATCACTTTAGGGAAGACACTTAGGAGTCAAGAGTGAATATGGGGAGATTACTTAGGAGGCTGCTACAATAGTCGAGTGAGAAAGAAGGGAAGCTTGCACTAAGTTGGTGACGGTGACAGTGGACATGGAGAGAACTAAGAAGGCAACAATACTTACAAAGTAAAATCAACAAGCATTGGTGATAGAGCAGATGTGGAATGTTGGAAAAGGGAGGTGTCAAGGATGACTCCCAGGTTACTTACTTGGTGATGCCATTCACTGAGGGAGGGAAAACTAGAAAAGTACCAGGCTTGGCAGGGGAACATGAGTTTGATTCTGGATGAGGTTAACATGCCTTTGTGATACCCAAGGGTTAATGACAAGAAAGCAGTTGGTTTAGGGTACGGGTCAGAAAACTACAGCCCACAGGCCAAATGGAAGCAAAGGGATCTGGTGGGAGGAGAGCAAACTAAAAATAACTAGCAACTGACTCTACTCTCAGCTCTGCCAGTAACCAGATTGGCCTAAAAAGATCATTACATCCAGCGGTCTCCTGGCAAACAGCTAAAAAAAATGTACATCATCTTTTTGTAAATAAAGTTTTATTAGAACACCTCATGTTCATTTGTTTAAGTATTGCCTATGGCTGCTTTTGTACTTTTTGCAGAATTGAGTAGTTGCAACAGAGACCATGTGGCCCACTAAGCCTAAAATTATTTACTTTCTGGTCCTTTATGGAAAAGATTTGCCAACCCCTGATTTAGAGCAAAGAAGAGATCTGTGTTAGAGTTATAAATCAGAATCTCCTTAGTCTCCCTCCAACCAACTCTCCACACTGATTGTATTACACACACACACACACAAACTCCACATCTCTCACAGTTCCAAGAAAATCTCTTTCAAGGGCTTCTCCTTTCCTACACATCCTTTAAACACCGGTATTCCTTAGAGCTCCATCCTAAGCCCATGGCCATTCTACATGTTCTCCTTGGACAATCCTATCCACTTTTATAGATTTAGCAACCACTGCCAGAGGTGATGGATACCCCAATTACTTAGATTTGATTAATTCACATTGTATGCCTGTATCAAAACATCAAAACATCACATGTACCCTATAAAGATACACAACTATTATATACCCATAATAATTAAAAATAGATTTAGCAACCACTAATAGGCTAATGATTTCCCAATCTATATTGCTAGCCACGACCTGCCTCTGAGTGTTCAAATGTTACTGGATATATCCACTTGAACATCACCACCACAGAACCTCAAATTGAATGTAGTAAACATTTGTTTGTTGCCAGCTCAATATCCATTTCCCCTCATCTCCTTTCCTAACAATAGCAAGATTTTCTCTGGATGGCTACCATATCTATCCCTTCCCATGTAGACCACAAGCAAGAGGGAAAATGAGCCTATCGATCAGGGTCCAGGCAGGAAATCAAAGGCACAATCAGCTGAGATTTTGAAAAGTATATGGGTCACTTTTCCCAGGGTCAAGGGAACCAATAAAGGCACAAAGCCTTTGCCAACCCCAGGCCCAAAAGGGCAAAGGGAAAAAATGGTGTTAGTGGATCCTGGTGAGAGTGGGAGCTATAGTCTTAGAGGGATATAGGCACTACAGACCAATGCGCTAAGACAGGGAGGGAGCAGGGAAGAAATGCCTGCCTCTCTCTCCTCCTGCCCTCTTAGTCTCCTAACAATGGCTCCCATTGGCCAAACCTAACTGGAAGCCAGAGGAAGAGAGCCTGAATGACAGTCTGTAGAGTCAGTTTTCCAGAGAGTAAAGAAGAACAGAGGGAAAAAAAAATGAATGAATCTGGTGGGAGGGAAGCAAACTGAAAATAACTAGCAACTGATTGTACCTCCAGCTGAAGCTGACCTACCCTGGCCTAAATCGATCATTACATCCAGTAGTCTCCTGGTAAACAGCTGAAAAGTTTTACCCCCCACCCCTCCAAAAAAAGCCCAGATATGTAGAGTTGGACAATTTCTGTGGTGCAAATACACCGACCATGTTTGTTTTCAAGCTACAAAGATAAAGTCCCTGAATGCTGAATTAGGAAGGGATGCACTTAATTGGCCCTTGAGGGTCAGAGGAACTGGCTCTAGCACATCATTCTCCTGATCAAGGAGATAGGTTCAGGGTCAATATGTGCTGTAAACTAATTCAATCAAAGTAAGTTTCAGAAAACTTGCTTGGAAATTTTTTTAATGCCTCCAT